GAACGAGCTTGGCGGTCCTTTGCTTGTTCTTGTTACATCGCTGGCACCCGCCAAAATTTTACAGATATAGTGGAAGTAGATAAAAAAAAAAGGGGGAGTTAGGTGTTAACTCTGGTTAATTACAAATACCCACTAGTTAAACTCTACTCAAGTTGAACTCTTGACAGTTTAGACTAACTGGGACTAAATTGGGATAATTTTAAAGGTTTTGGGGGACTTAATAAAAAAATGTGAAGATTTGGGGGCGCCTATATCAAAATAAATGAGATTTTGAGGGGCCTATATTTCTTAAAAGCCCAATAATATTTTTGCATTGGTCATAGCAGGTGGCAATACAACTGCCAGCCCGAAATTATCCTCAGCTAATTACTACTAAAGAATATTTTCCTGTTCACAACATGCCACAAACTTGGTTTGTGGTCTTTTAATAGTGGTACCCTGTACTTTTTAACTCCTTTGCAGGTAATAACTACAACTCTTCTATTTGGCTCGCGGTCCAACCGCGAGCCTCAGCTCGCGTGAGAGAAACAGGGGGGGTGGGCCCCCCAACAGTGGGGGGGCCCACCCCCCTGTTCCTCTCACGCGAGCTGTGGCTCGCGGTTGGTCCGCGAGCCAAAAGGCTTTTTTGTAATAACTACTATACAGAAAAACTTAGCTTTTGTGCTTGCTGTTTCAAATAATGGAACAATGGAACAATCATGTTCCAACCAATAGCTTTTGTGCTTGCTAAGACCCTCTACCTACATTTTGTGCTTGCTAAGACCCTTGTCCGTTATCAGATTGAAACAGCAAGTTAAATCTGATAACGGACAAGGGTCTTAGCAAGCACAAAAGCTATTGGTTGGAGCATGATTGTTCCATTGTGATACATGCATGGTCAAATAGGAAAAATGGATAATATGAAAAGGCATCTATCTTCAAGTGCATGTATAAATGCATAATGAAACATACATTTCCCATGTATACTAAGAACCCCATTATTTTTACAAGCTGCAAACAAATCAATATTTAGGACTGAAATAAAATATTGACATGCAATGAACTGTAACATTATGAAAACAAGCTGCTTGCATTATGTGACTAAAATATTTAGGATCAGAAGGAATGCATATTAGTGCTGGTAATTGACTACAAGTTTATTCCAAAAAAACTTAGCAATTAAACAAACTTTCAAGTTATCAACAATAGGCGAAAGCATGCAATGAACTGTAACATTATGAAAACAAGTTGCTCGCATTATGTGACTAATCATCCCCGCTTCATTAACTGCAATAAGCAAATCACTTTAGTAGGCTCTCATTGCTACAGATAAGAAAACAAGACATAATTCAATCTCCTTATACTTTAATATTTGATAACCTGCTGCTATCAATTACTGGCTCCACAGGATGTGGCTCTCCATTTCGCAAAAATGCTCTGGCATATAGCTCCCCTGATGAAGACATCAAATTATCAAAGAATTACCAAAAGGACTAGTAGAAACAGCACAAAGATTTATGGCTTTAATTCCAAGCTCCACAAACTAAAACATGGTCACACCTGTGGTCTTGTCTTCCAGTCTGATAATGCACTCCTGTCCCTTGCTTACGACCTTTAGTGAACCCTCCCAGTCCCATTTGTTGACATTCCATTCATCGGCCCTGACTAGATATTTATATCCAATAAAAAAGAGGACTTTTTTGGAAGGTTTCATATAAGCTGAATGCTGACATGTGTATATAGAACTTAGAATACATATAAAAGATAAGGTTAACTGAATATGGAATATGTCAATCAAATAGGAACTGAGGCATGATCACATAGATCACAGTCACAGTCTAAAATTACGATAAAAGGTTTAAGAAAATTTACAAACACTTTCTGAAATATAAGAAGAAATCAATACACATAATCAATAAAGTAGAAATTTAATGTTTTAGCACATTTAACCTCGTACAAGCCTGTGAAGTGATCTCAGAATTTCTTCAAGACATAGCACAACAGTACAGTGCTACAGAAACTTACGTCGTTTATAATGTTCCATGCCCTCATCTCTTAACATAACTTTTTAATTGTGATCAAAGAACTATGATATGCTCATCTAAAATGAAAGGACTTACGGTAAACCTTAAAACTTAATAGGTTGAGCTTGAACTATGTCTAGCTTTCATGTCAGGTGACATTTCTTCCAGATCTCTTCAGGTGATGAATGTACATTGGAAATGTTCTTGCAGTTACTTAACATACTCAAAACCTCGTACAAGCCTGTGAAGTGATCTCAGAATTTCTTCAAGACATAGCACAACAGTACAGTGCTACAGAAACTTACGTCGTTTATAATGTTCCATGCCCTCATCTCTTAACATAACTTTTTAATTGTGATCAAAGAACTATGATATGCTCATCTAAAATGAAAGGACTTACGGTAAACCTTAAAACTTAATAGGTTGAGCTTGAACTATGTCTAGCTTTCATGTCAGGTGACATTTCTTCCAGATCTTTTCAGGTGATGAATGTACATTGGAAATGTTCTTGCAGTTACTTAACATACTCAACAGAGTTTCTAGAAGACCTTGTTGATGGTACGGTAATTTTCTTCCCTGTATGTCTGCATCTAATTCAAATAGTTCAAATACTTGTACTTTGTGTCTTTGTCCTTTTATACAGTCCCATGAACTGTGTTTTCATAGTTTTATGATTCTCACTAAGCAATGACCACAATGTGATGGGAAAACCACTCAATTAGGCAATTACTTTCCTTGTAAAGAGTATGTTAAGCCTTGGACACTCTGACAGGAGGAAACATCAACTCCGCTTGCATAATCACACCGGTTATTTATAGAAAGGCCACTGAAAGTAGATCAAAATACACTTTCGATTTAAAGCCAAAAGACTGATAGGTACTAGCCAATGGTAACGGACCATGGCCATGCGAACAGCGCTGGACAAAATGGTTGTTACTCACGCCTTAAATATTGATAAAAAGGTTGGTCCCAGCCTACGTTGCATGGGTATAGGTTACAAAATGGCTGTTACTCACGCCTTAAATATTCGATGCGTGTGGCCTCCAAGTTAGGTAAAATCAATATCTTGGACAATATGTATTTTCCAACAGAAATAAAATTGGTGATACGTTAAATGTTTCTGCAAGATAGCGTTCCTTATTCCTCCAATCCCCCCTATACCTACAGCCCAAGTGTCCAGTGCGGGCAAATAAATTTTAAATCAAACATGCATACCACCCTTCTGATTGTAGACAAAAACTAAACAGAAACATAAAGTGAATGACAATCGGTGGTTTTCCACTCCTGAATACTAGGATAATTGCCACATATGATGTTCTACGTGGAGTACTTTTCATATTCCAAATTACCAAGGACAAGTTCTCAATATACTAGTCCGATGATTTTAGGCGGGGAATCACCACTTTGGCTCTTCATTTAATTTTGCTATTGACATTCAAACTCAAGATGGTGAATAGATAATGGACTTTGTACAACGGCACTTTACATAACTACAATGAAGCCAAGGAAAAAAGATATTGGCAAGCATAAGCTTTGTTTAATTGAACATGTATTGCATATGCCATGATGTTTATATAGAGGAAAATTACCATCTAACAAATATCATTAGCACACATAAAGGGGAAAAGAGAGAATGAACTATGAAACTAAGAATAAAATGGAACGACTTACCTCCTTAACAATCTTGCCTGGACTTTGTTTCTTTTCGACGCAATATATGTAAATGGCGAGAAGCATGAACTCGTGCATCTCTAAATTTTAGTTAGAACCTTAAGCGAAGCAACAAAACTATGAATTATCAGTGGAGCATGCTAACTGGCCTCCCTTAACTACCTTCTGAATATTTCTTATGAGCAAATCTAAAGCTCTATTCTTGTAACCAATCTCTCACTAGCAAGGTAAGAATAGACTCTACCTCGCTCTTAGTCTCACCTCAGACCCAAATGCAAACTCAACATCACAGACAAAAGTTTACCCAATTGTACGCAAACTGAGGGCCCATAACCCCTCAGCCACATCAAACAATTTTAAGCTACAAGGATAAATTGCAATAAACAAGATCAAATCACTTCTCAAATTTACAATAGAGTAAATCGTAGAGAAGTGAACCAACCAAAATTTAACCACCAATTCCTTGTCAAACACATTAGCTAACAGTTCTAAGGACAAACAATCATCATGCAAGACCTAATTCCTCTCCTAAATTGGGAAATTTTGAGCCACAACAAATCATTGTCGAAGACAAAATCAAATGACAATTAGTACCAAGAAACACACCTGTAAGAAGCGGCGCTCTTCCTTGGAGGTATCTACACAAATCGAATTAAAAAAGATCAACAAAAATTAGGAAATTGATCGAATTTTGCTGAAATCGACAAGTGGGATTTGAAGTCAAGAGTTGAGTACCAAATACACGTAGAACTCGTTAACTTGGAAGAGTATCAGTTCAATAGCTTCTGATTCCTCTCTCTTCTTCTTCATAGTCTTTGTGATGATCTAGGGTTTGATTGCATTTTTCGTCCATGAGCAAAATAATGGGAATTATGACTTTGTTTCTTTTTTTTACTGATTTTTTTGAGGATTTTGGGGGGAAATTGTAAAGGGAAAGAAGTAGCGGAAAGCAATTTTTTGGGGGGAAATCTTACACGGATCTCTCAGAAGATTATGGAGAAATTATAGAGGGAAAAGGGGAGAGGAAAATCAACGTACCTTTAAAATTCCGTCGGCTACCCTCGCGTGAGAAGGCGGAACAAGCCTTGTTCCGCGTATCTAAGAGGAATTGTTAACCCTTCAATTCACGGGATAAATGAGTTTTATCCCTCACGTGCGGGTTAACTAACCTGTGAGCTTTTTTACCTGTTTGGCAGGCTAATGAAGGGTTAAACCCCCTTAACCCTTCATTTAGCCTGTTGCCAAACACAGCCTTACAGATTTGTCAGATAAAATAAGAGGAATGATTGCCTGATTTACCCCCTCAGCTTCATGAGTTATTTCCCCCTTCTGGTGGTAGGTGATGGCCTTGGAGGTGGGAGAATATTAAATCAGAGTTAAGTGCAATAACACCTAGGTTGTTCAAGATTGAGATAACCGGAGGTCTTATGGAGAAGGAAGGGCTCGAGAATTTTGGCCAGGAAAACTTTGCCTGTAAAAACCTATGACACATTCGAGCTAGCGATAACATCCCTCATCCGTTACACAATTCAATGAGACGTTACAATATGCATGTGGAAATAGTTTTATTGCTAATACCTACCCAGTATTCCCATTTTCAACCATTTATGAGCACAAGGGATGAAATAAATAATGGAGCCAGTTTATCTCTTTTATTGGTTTTCTTTTCCTTTTTTATTGGTTTTCTTTTCCTTTTTTTTTCATGAATACCTTGGTTTGTGGAGAAGAATAAATGTCCATCCAGTAGATAATATTACAACAAATTCAATTCAATTCAAATTCTTTATTTAAATTGGTGCGCTAGTCATATTGTAATAAAAGCTGTTTTATTTTCTGTTACTTGGTGAAAATATAACCGTTTTGCATTATTGCCAAAGAAATGAGCATATGATATTCAGCACCTCGACTTTATCCCTCACCTTGATCTAAACAGGTACAATTCATTTCAGTGTGTTTTTTTTCATAAGAAAATGATGGAAGCATGCCAAAATATTATAACCTTAGAATAAAGTCATGTTTCGACATCATTTTGAAATTAGTATGTTCATATGGAAACAAGGGAAATTCATCAACGTTGCTATGTCAATTGAGTTTTTGGTGAGTCTTCTTCCTTATTCCGTATTGTACGTATGCCCAAATCACAAGCACCCGTGTCTTAAAATAGAACATAATTATTTTGACCCAAACAAGAATAATCCAACAATAATCAACTTGAATAGGTAATTTAACAAAGTTAGCGTTATATGCATAGTCTAGAATGTAAAATAGAGCTTCTAGCAATTCAATTTTAACTGTCCCCCCTTTTTTTTCACCCTAATACACAGAGCCACAGCCTGAATTCAATTCTAACCGTTGATCACTGTTGCTATTTTGTTGGCCCAAAATTTGGCCCGTTATCAAAAGGCCCAGCTCCCCACTGTCTTTTGCCCCATCTCTACCCTCCCCTACCCGATGGTACTCAGCTCCTTCCCATCTCCTACCCGATGGTACTCAGCCCCTTCCAATATCTCTGTCTCCTGATGCCAGCCGCTTTGAGTCCCATCTCCCATCCCTGTAGGTCAGCTTCTACCATTCGAAACCCTAGGATTCCCCTCTCGTGTCGTCTGCCCCTTCTCTATTTAAGACGAAGGGTTGGTAGTAGCTCGACAGGGGGGAAGACGAAGAGACAGAAAAGAAAACTGAGCTCCTGTGAGCTTTGTGCGATCCCCCTCCCTTCTATGAGCTTCATGCTCCTGTGAGCTTTGTGCTCTTACCCCTTTGTGCGATCTCTTCACCTCTGTGAGTGATTTAGGAGCAATTCAGTGGCGAGCTCTCCCTTTGTGTTCTTGGTGGTGCCCTAGAGAGGAGGACAAAGACTGGTTGAGCAGGCTTCTGAGCCAAACAGCGACGACATCGATCCACAACAGTGGTATCAGAGCTCGGTGAGTTGTTGCCCTTCCAACACCGCCGGTCGCCGTCGCTGGGCTTCGTTGAGTCGTCGCCGTTCAAGCCGTCGGACCACCTCCGGACCACCTCCGGACCGCCGAAATCAGATCGCTCCCGGACCACCACCGCACTGCCGAACAAGTGGGTAAGGTCGAAACCCTCTCCTAGGGTTTCGCTCAGGTGAATTGACTGAAATCAAACTCTTATCCGTGTTTTCTTTCCGCTGCAGTTAAGCCCTGACTTTGTTGAAAATTTACAGTAAAATTCTAATTTTTTTCCGGGCATAGTTGCATTTTTTTATTTTTTTGAAAAATAGTTTCTGTTATTGTTTGTGTTCGTGTGAAAGAATAAAGAGATTGAAACAAGAACTCTGTGTTCATCGTTCTTCTCATTTGTTCGTGCTAGTTGCTTCACACGTTTTGAGCCGGATAATTACCGAAATCAGATTTGTTCGTACTAGTTATTGTTTGTTTTTCTGTGTGAAAAATGTCTGCTGCTAATCAATATGGTATGGCTCCGTTCAACGGAAAATCTGATTTTAGCATTTGGAAACAAAGAATAAAATGTATTTTAATTCAACAGAAGTCATTTAGGGCTGTTGGTCAGACTTATTTGACTTCTGACATTGAAGAAAAAAAGGCTGAAATGAACGAAAATGCTTGTTCCATAATTTATTTGAACTTATCTGACTCTGTGTTTAGAAAAATTAGAATTTTAGAATCTGCTAAAACCCTTTGGGATAAACTTGAAGAACTCTATACTGAAACCTCTTTGCCCAGTAAAATATTTTTGCTTGAATTTTTTTTTCAAATTTAGATTGGATATGTCTAAGGACATTGAGGAGAACCTAGATGTTTTCACAAAACTTATTTCAGATATTAAGTTAACTGGTGATAAACATATAGATGATTATACTCCTATTGCCCTTCTAAATGCTATTCCTGACTCATATAATGATGTAAAATCTGTTATTAAATATGGTGGAGATGAGATTACCCTTGACATTATGGTCAATGGTCTTAAGAGTAAGGAATTAGATTTAAAACATTCTGGGTGAAATAAAAATTCTGGTGAGGTTATGCATGTGAGGGGGTATGCCTCAGAATAGGTCTAATAACCAAAAGAATGCTAGTAATATGGAATCAAGTAAGAAAAAAAATTAAAATGGAAGGGGTAGATCTAAGTCCAGGTTTAAAGTTAAAAAATGCTATAATTGTTATGAAATTGATCACTTTATTAAAGATTGTCCTAAGCCTAAGAAAAATCAGCAAAATGATCATGCTAACATGGCTGTCTGTGAGGCAAAATGGGTGAAATTTTCATGATTAATAATCTTTGTGATCATGCATATTTGAACTATGTGTTATCTAATTCTTTGTGTAAATCAGATTGGTTAGTAGACTCTGGTTGTACTTTTCATATGACTCCTTTTAAAAACTTGTTTTCAAACTACAATAAAATAGAGAATGACTTTGTGTCAAAGACAAATTAAAAAAAATTCAATGTTTTAGGAACTGGTAATGTATGCCTTAGGCTTTCCTCCGGTAATGTTTGGACTTTGTCACAGCCATGCCGAGGAGTCAGAAGGGGAATAACGCCGTATGGGTAGTAGTAGACCGACTCACCAAGTCGGCTCGCTTCATACCATTTCGAGTTGGGCAGACGACAGAGAGTTTAGCGGAGCTATACATGAGGGAGATAATGCGCTTGCATGGGGTACCGGTTAGCATTGTTTCTGATAGAGACACGCGATTCTTATCACACTTTTGGAGGAGCTTGCAGCAGTGTCTTAGGACTAGACTGAGTTATAGCACGGCTTATCACCCTCAGACAGATGGGCAATCAGAGAGGACCATACAGATTTTGGAGGACATGCTGCGGGCATGCATACTGGATTTCAAGGGCTCTTGGGAAGATCACTTACACTTGGTGGAGTTTTCTTATAATAACAGTTATTAGGTCAGGTTCCAGATAGCACCTTATGAGGCATTATATGGGAGAAAATGTAGGTCTCCTACTTGTTAGGATGACTTGGGAGAACGGCGTCTACTAGGTCCTGAGATGATAGTGCAGACAGTGGATAAGATAAAGACAATACGCGAGCGCCTTAAATCAGCTCAGGATAGACAGAAGAGCTGGGCTGATGCTAAGAGGAGACCTCTACAGTTTCAGGTTGGAGAGCATGTTTTCTTGAGAATATCCCCAACCAAATGAGTTATCAGATTTGGCAGCCGTAGGAAGCTTAGTCCACGTTTTATCGGTCCTTTTGAGATATTGAGAGGGTAGGACATGTGACATACCGGCTAGCTTTGCCTCCGTCGTTGGAGGGAGTGCATGATGTGTTCCACGTATCACAGCTTCGACGATATGTACGAGACGAGACTCACGTCCTGGACATCGGAGAGCTTCAGATTGGGACGAACTTATCATATGAGGAGCGACCTATGAAGATTTTAGATCGCCAAGAGAAGGTCCTCAAGAACAGAACTATTCCGCTTGTCTTAGTATCTTGGGGACATCATGAACCTGGTGAGGCAACCTGGGAGCGAGAGGACGACATTCGTCAACGCTATCCACATCTCTTTACCACATGTGATTTTTAGTTCTTCTTATGGTCGGATAAATTTCAAGGACGAAATTATTTTTCTTAGGTGGGTAGGATGTGATAATCAATTTTTTTATGAAGGAGGCCCACATCAAGGACGAAATTATTTTTCTTAGGTGGGTAGGATGTGATAATCAATTTTTTTATGAAGGAGGCCCACATCAGGTGGAAATTGAAAAAAAAATTTCCTTAAGGCCCATGAGTTACCTAGAAAGCCCAAAAAAAAAAACCATAACTCCACCTTCCCTTCATTTTTTACCCACGTAGGAGATGTGGGAATGGATCTCGGAAGAATATCTCCATTAATTGTAACTAACCAACACCTAACCCCATCATCTTTTAAACCCCTCATCTCCCCTTTTTCCTTTTCAAGATACAGCAGGGGAAAAAAAAACGAAAAAAAAGAGAAAAAAAAAAGAGAAACCTGCAGAGAGCAAGACAAGGAGAAAGAAGAGTTTTGGATTTTCTTTTGGGATTTGGGGTTCATCATCTTATCATCGGCAAGCATCCTTCCCTTGATTATTATTATTATTATTTAGAGTTTTCTTTCATGCAAGAAATTCTTATCTTTAAGTTCTTTTGTAATTCCTTATTTAAATAC